AACAATAAGAAATACAGTAACTATATGTCATCTGGATTACAAGGGCTACACTGCTTTGCAACCAAAATTAAAGGTATTTGCCAAAATGGTTTAAAATCTTATTGTATGAATGAATGCCTGTCAGGCCCAAAACCAAGAATGACAGGTGGACATTTTTTCCAAGATCAGTTCTCTATTGTTTTACATCTATAGGAAAAAATCTGACCAGACTGAGGAGTCCACTATCTGCATCTACAATAACTGCATGTACAATATACAATGTGAACTCTTAGAGGAGTGGGCTATTTTCACTCTCCCTCATCCAGGACACCTGGGCTAAGTTGCCCCTCTGGAATGCATTTTCTTCTTGAGGGTCCATCTTCTTACTACATTCTATCACACTATCTCTCACTATGAATCTCTTTTGCATTTAAGATTTTTGTAAGGCAAGATATTCTGAAGGTGGCTGCATTGCCCAAACGTTTTTCTGGCACATGGGAGAATCACTCATAATTCATGAACTGGAAGGTGGGGAGGGGAATTCCATATAGTCACCATTCTGTCCTGCTTTACAAGAGAAGTCAAGATGCTCTTTCAACTTCATTTACTATTACATCTTCAGTTTAATGTATGCTTTTTCATTTTTTTATAGTGTGCATCTTACTCTTAAGCCAGTTTGACTGCTCTAGTTCATAGAAGGTGATATAGAAATCAAATTCATTTTAATTATATATGGCATTATCAAAGAAACTTATCTAATCTTTTGTGTCTCTGAAAAAAAAATCTATTTTCAATTGTTTCTAATAACTCAACATTAGATTTTCTTTAAATAAAATATACATAAATATAAATACATTTTTAAAAAAATCTATGTGTATTAATTCTCACTAAATAGCACTCAGCAAAACTAATGCTTCAATTAAAACAAGCATGTTTCCACTTTTATTTTTATTAACAAGGCAAATCTAGGGCAATCAGTGTTATATATTAAACTGACCTCCCATTTTGTTGATAAAATCCTTCTTCAAATTCCCGTAGGGTTTTGCGCAATTTCTTTTTTTCACCTCTGGCTTTCCAAAGTTGTTCTAATAATTCAGGCCTAGAAACACATTGTAAGAAAATACTCTGGCTAATCAGTACCATCATTAGTGGCTCATCATCTAAAGGAGCACAACTTAATTAGATAACTTTTTTAGAAGCTTGTATCAAATATTTTTTTATTTCTTTCTTTAACTTGTTCTCTTGCTAATAATTTAGATAAAGAAAACTAAAGAAGTCATAAGTGATAAAACTAGTGTTACATTTCAGGAGAATCTTCACGGAAGAGGTATGCAAAATGTTCAAGAAGATTTCTGATGTCAAGGCAGCCATATTAGGATCGGACACTTTTCTAGCCCATTTCAGAATGGCCCATTTCAATCTAGCAATATAATATTTTGTGTATCACTTATCTATTTTGGATTTAATCAGAATCCACAAATGATTTTTAAAAATAAGCAGCAGTACATTTGTTTGGTATTTGCAATGTCATATTTACTTACATGGAAGCTGCTCGGATACTAGAAAGTCGAAGCTCTCGAGTTAGTTTCTCTTGACTTTCTTCAACATCAGATTCTGAGTTTTCCACAGGGCTAGTAGCAATGGGATGTATTTGGGCACTGGATTTTAATATATCAGTCAATTCTGAAGATATATCACCATCCTCTTCCTCTTCCTTAAAAATAATAGACAGGTTTTAAGGATTCAAATAATGGGACATATTTTTTAAAAAAAATATTACTACTGCAGATTTATTCATATTTACTTGTAGCAATTGATGGTTAAGAATTGTTTGGGCATTAATGTGAAGTCTAGTGTTGAAGCCAACAGTGGTTCTAGCACCCTGAGAAATACAAACAATGGGAACAGCAAAGCACAGTAAACAATGGAAAAAATCACTTGCTATTGTAAATTGTCTTTTTGTATGGTTCAGTGTTTTATAACAGAAAATTCCAGAGGCACTATAAAGTATAACAGAATTGTAGGTGTAAATAGGATCAGTCTAAGAAAATATTTAAAATCTTATTTTTCACCCCAAAGAATTGTAGGTGTAAATAGGAACACTCTTAAGAAAAATATTTAAAATCTTTTTCCACCCCAAAATGCTTTAATACGATAAAACATGTTATAAAAATAGTTTTAGAGCATTTGTACAAATAAATATGTATTTAAAGAATCCAAGTGCACTGTAAAGAAAGTTATCTGTAAAAGCATTCAATAATGGAATTCATAAAAATAACTCCATATAAGCGTTTATATATCATACCTATAACCAAAATAAAAATAACCTTCCTTTTAAAATGTAATACAATTGTCAAAAGTGCAAGAAATGCCCTCTCCCCAAAAAAACTAATATAAACTCAAGCATTTTAGGCCTCCTATTGTTTTACAAACTATAGAAGCCATGTTATCCAGGATATTCTGAATGCAGGATCATTTATATTACGAAGCTTCTATATTAGACTTCACAGAAGATTTTAAGTAGGAGATCAATAAGATCTTCAAATTTTCATGTTACAGTACCTCATTCTTTGTATAAATAACATTGGGTTATAATGTTTCTGGCCAATTATAATGGGAAGGCTAGAGATATCACCAAAGGAACACTTTATATTAAACAACTTAAATCTAGGCAGTTTTATAATTTATTTATTAATTATATTAACAATTGCCAAGTCCCTAAGGATTCTCAGCAGTTTACATATAAGACCCAACATACATAACTAGAAAGTTCCTAAACTTTAGTCCACAAAGTAATAAAACACATAGAATAAATTAAATTAATCAAACAAGGCGAACTAAACCAAGATGGGAGTTTTCTAGATTGATTGAACCAGCTAGGCCAATTCCTTTGAGAGATTAGACTACAGGAGATAGGTAAGTGCAAGCACTGTATGGCTTTATAAGCATAGCATTTTAAACTTAAAAGAAGCCTCTTGGCAACTAATGCAGTCATCTTTATTGAGAAATACCTTAATTTCCTCAAAGAAATGGGCTGTTTCTCCTTCTATGATAGGTTGTAACATCTGGCTACGCCTTTTAGTTGATGGTGATCCCTGAAATATAATTAAAAGGTGATAATGCTTTAAAAGCTATGTTCCTATATATTTAGAGCATGTGCCATTCTAGTTTACATAATTTTTCCTGAAACATGGAAATTCTATCTTCACTGTTTTTATTTGTAGGATAAAGTGAAAATAAAGAATATTGACTCAAACTATAGAACATTCATTGCGTATACACTAATGTTAAAAAGAAAAATAAAGTATGGGAATTCAAAAGGAATTTGAATTCTTAATACAAGAAAGCAAATGCAATAGATATAAAAGAAATGAGATGATATTACTGGAAGGCATCAACTGAAGAAAACTGTTTGCACAAAAGAAGGAAACAACAGAAAAGAAGGACTTTAATTATATGTTAAAATATCTATCCTTGCTTGGAAATCAAAGTAAATAAAATTTGACAATACTGAAGAGACCCTATCTAGTGTAAAGTAATTGGAGACATGAATAAAATGAATGTTTGTAAGCCGCCCAAAGTTACCTTATGGTAAGATGAATGGCCAATAAATTTTATAAATAAATAAATAAAAGCAATACTATAATTAGTGCATAATATCTCCCATTCACTCAAGAAAGTACAAACAATATTTTTAAGAGGCATAAAGAATAGTAATGAAGAACTTTCATTATCATAACATTTATTATAAGGCAATTTCTAACTCTGAAAACTATCCTCCAGATGATAGAGGAAGATATCAGCTTTCTCTTACTTGACTCTAGGGATTTGTAAGTGTGTGCATGTGCAAAAGTGACCTATGATGCTAGAATTCCTGATTACAAGGGCAATTAAAATATAGATGAACAATAATAAGCTCAGAGTAACCACAAATGAAATTCCACAAGAGAAACAGCAAAATGTATATAGTAATGTATTCTATCAAAAGGAGGATTGAACCTTGGGATTGAAACATGTTTGAGTTTAAATCTTTTGGACCACATAAATGACATCTAAGCTGCTAAATGAACTAATGGTCTGGGAAAATATGTATGAATTGTCTTGAGAGATATTGGAAAAAAAGTGACATATCTTTGAACTTAGGGAAACATGGGCCATTGCAATGATGTTAGATGGTAGGTTACCCTCTTAGTCATCAAAGATATACTCAGTATGGAAATTAGATTAAATCGACCAAATGTTATNCACATACACACACAAAACACAAATATAAATATGACAATAGAAGTTTTTTTATTATAAAAATCTATACAATGAAATGCCAGACATAGCAATCATTCATATCTGGTTTATTTATATATATATATATATTTATATATCTATATATCGACATATAGTTTTTACTTATATGAAAGTAAAACTGTGTTATCACAAAATGCCTAATTCTACCATTTATTGCTCAATAAGATGGCACAACACACACTCTTAGCATAACTGATGCCATGCTTGCTACAAACAGCCAAACACTGCAAAGCACACACAAAAGCAGCTGTTGATTCTGAAGTGGAACCAATTTGATCACTCACTTTATAAAAATATTGGGATCATATAGATTTAAGCATTATAAAGGAGGAATATATTATTTAAAACAAACATTTAAATAGTGCATATTGATATTTTGCATGTGTTATATAAAACATTCATGTACAACACTATACAGTACACATAGGTTTTGATGTTTGATGCACCAGTGATTGCAGATTGATGGAGTAACTGAAATGTACATTGCACAATGAAGTTGAACAAAAGCCACGGAAAAATCTCCAGATTATTTCCCGATCTTGTAATTTACTACAGTCCACTAAAACCCTTCAGGTTGTATAAAAAGGCAAAACATTATAGTATAAATTCATTTTAATAGTCACTTTTGGGTTCCAAAAGTACATGCCTAGAATTACAATAAAAACGAGAAATACAACCAATAGAAGTATGGAGTCTCTAAAATCTATTTTCTACCTATTGCATGTTAACACATCAATCTGATGAGTTTACATGTCATTATTTCACTGAAGTTCATTTTCTGGTTTTTCAGAAAAGCAATGAAAAACAATTTGTGTTGGCATTAGCTGTTCATAACACATGCAGCAAATAGGCACATGCAAAAACATGGCCACAAGACAAAATAGATCCAGAAGGTATTCAACACTTAGGATTTAATCCAGTCAAACCACAGAAGCAGGGCCTATGTGTAAAGGATTCCATATAAGCCCCTTTTCCTCTGTACTGTATCTCATGTAGGTACTCAAGTCATTTAGAAGGATTTTGGAGTGCAGTTTAAAAAAATAATCAGCCGCTGTTGTGTTATGTATACTAGGCAAAAAAAAAAAAAATCAGTTAAAAAACGCTCTTGGTTCTGAAGCTTTGACATGCAAAAATCGTGTCATATCTGCATGAGGCAGATCACTTCTCTTTCCACTTCTGTAAATGGAAGTAGAAAGGCTTCTTTCAAATCTAGTTTTGTCCAGCTTGTTCAATACATTAATTGTAGCCCTTGTAAAATAAGTTTGTTTCAGATACAGCAAAAGTGGTGTAAGCTTACTGAACTGAATGAATCTGAGCACCAACACAAGGGTAAGATGCAGTCTCCAATTCAGACTACACTGTCACCAGTAGACAATAAATAGAAATTAACAGTAATGTAAGTCTTGTAGGCAATATGTGATATAAATGTTCAGGTTTTTCCAAGTTTTAAAAATACAACAAGCAAGGTCACTTTCTGGTTTGTCCATTGTCATCTGAAACCGGAGAATGTACTTTATATTTCGATATCCATCTATCATTCTACTATATGAAAGATGCCATTTGCAATCAGTTATTCCACGCAGTCCTCTGAAAGGCATTGCAGTTCCTTTATGGTATTCAGGAGTATTCTTAATTGGCTGCCATTGTCTTCCATACTAAAAAGGCAACAGAGGAGTTCAGTATAATACTAATAAATGCAGATGAAGCGAAGTTAGCAGGTCCAACATTTCTGAATGATTTTAGAATAAAAGTCTTTTGAGAACAAGATGTAAATTTTTAAAAATGAGAAAAAGAAAACAACCCTTAAAGTTGGACAGACTGAGTCGCAATTTAAAAAATTTTCATTAACTTTCTAGAGTGGACCTACCTGTCCTTCTAAAGTGTACAAAAACAGCATTCTTTCAACAAAGCAAGACAAAAGAATACTCCTAACAGTACTATGGGCAGCATATGAAAACAACTGTTCTTTGTTATGGAGAAACATAATTTATTTTGATGGATCTTGTTTGCTGATAAGGACTTCAAGAAGACGCAGTTTAGCTTTAACTTTCTTGTACTCTCGATATTCATCAAGCATGGGTCCACGATCCTCCTTCTGAACATTCCTGAAAAAAATAAAATATGTTGTTAAAAAATCTTGGCTTGCTTACTTTTTTAAAGTAGACGGGGAGGGCATCAAGTTTAAGTTTTTCACTCTACAGATTTCATAAGAATAAAGGACTTGATAGAATCCTTCCTTTTGATAAACATAAGCAATGCCTCAGATTATGTCTTATGACTACCTAGACTACTGAAAATGGCCAAGCAAAAAAATCACATTCATAGCATTTCATAAAACTGAGTAGCATTGCACTGATATCTTATGAATGATAGACAGAATGATAGAAAAGTGCAAGACTTAACCCTTCTGGAAAACTGAAGCCATGGAAAAAACACCATCCCATCCCCCAAAGAAACAGATCATTAGGAGGGGAAATGGATTTCTGCAGTGTGTACATATTTTAGAACGATAGACACAGAGATAAAAAAGTATAAATAATGTTTCTAATATTTATCCAACAATTATTTGCACCAATAAAAGGAAACAAGCCCATGTCTGAAGCAGAGCTATGTCCTTCCTCTTTTGTTTTCTTTATAAAAATGAATTTAAATGTAGCCTGAAGAAACTAATGTATTTGTGTCCTTTAATCAAGAATTGTACTATATTGCTTATCTTCTATGCAATAGAACTTACCCTGATTAACTGTAATGAATCAAGGATGAGTAGTGATATATAAAAATTGCCTTAACTATTACATGTGCATCACTTAAACTCTTGTAAGTTGAGGATTACCTGTAGGGCTAAAATGTAAAGCCATGGGAGAAAAAAATCCAGAAAACCTTAAGAAGAAAAAAACTTTCCTAAAGTTTTCTGGGTTTTTTTTTCTCCCATGGCTTTACATTATAGCCCTACAGGCTCATGTGGTTCATGTGGTGGCTGTTCAAAGTTACAGCAGCAGTGGAAAAAGTGACTTATGACTGTATTTCACTTACGACCGCTGCAGCATCTGCATGGTCATGAGATCAAAATTCAGATGCTTGGTAACTGGTTCATATTTATGATGCTCCGGGGGTCATATGATCCCCATTTCCAACCTTCTGACAAGCAAAGTCAATGGGGAAGCCAAGCTTACTTAACCATGTTACTAACTTAACGGCAATGATTCACGTAATTGAGGCAAGCAAAGTCGTAAAATGGTGCAAAACTCATTTAACAAATGTTTCACTTAGCAACATAATTTTTGGCTCAATTGTGGCAGTAAGTTGAGGACTACCTGTACTTTTATCCAAATGCAATGAATGTCTTATTTGCCAAAGTAACCTCTAGTTGTAATGGGCCTACGCTATTGATAGTCTGCAACTTTTTTTTATCTTGTTGGCTGTTCTACTAACAGGAACAATCAAAGACTTTCAGGACACATCTCTTTGTGTCCTCCCTCCAATTTCCCATTTTTTTAAGGGATGGTCAATGAGAAAGTGGTGTATCTGCAGCCCCAGAATATCCTAGAGATAGATTATTTGAAGCATGGGCAGTCAGAATTCAGGCCCAGGCATGAAATTGATGCATTGGGTCATTTTGGTTTGTCAAGGTTTGATTCTTCAATGCCTTTTGATGTTTTGATGGCCTAGAGATTTTGTTTTTCTTTCCCCTATTTTTTAATATCCATATGACACCATTGAGAGAAATCATGTCAATTTCAGATACAATACTATCCATACAAATTATGATACTCAGCTACCGGAATGTACTATCAGTGATGTTACACAAGCCATGACCTGAGTCTGTAAGCTACAAAAGCTTTGAATCCACATGAAATGATCTCCACAAAGATCATTCTAAGGTATGAAATTAGTTGTTATCTACATCCCTATGACAACCAATGCTCCTGTCACCAAATTCAAAAAAGGAACTGGTACCACTGAACTGTATCATGGGGAGATACAGGGAGAGAAAAGCTGAAATTATGCCCAAGCAACATAGAATTATTGATGGTTAATAACAAACCAATCTCAAGAGAAGAGATTCTATTTGGGGTGGGATTCCCCTTGCAGATGTACATCTGCAGCCCTAATTTTCAGATGACATGGGATTGATAGATGACAGCTGCATCAGCTTACATTTGTACAATGATTAGAGCAGCAGCTATTTCTATTTTTAAACTAGGTAGATTTGGAAAACTATTTTTTGCTTTGGTTACATTTTACCTTGGCTATTCCAACATACTTGAAAGTGGGCCCACCTTACAAAGTGCAGAGAAATTGTAACTAGTGCAAAACTACAAAATGCAGCAACTGAAAACTGCTAAACAATAAGAAATACAGTAACTATATGTCATCTGGATTACAAGGGCTACACTGCTTTGCAACCAAAATTAAAGGTATTTGCCAAAATGGTTTAGAATCTTATTGTATGAATGAATGCCTGTCAGGCCCAAAACCAAGAATGACAGGTGGACATTTTTTCCAAGATCAGTTCTCTATTGTTTTACATCTATAGGAAAAAATCTGACCAGACTGAGGAGTCCACTATCTGCATCTACAATAACTGCATGTACAATATACAATGTGAACTCTTAGAGGAGTGGGCTATTTTCACTCTCCCTCATCCAGGACACCTGGGCTAAGTTGCCCCTCTGGAATGCATTTTCTTCTTGAGGGTCCATCTTCTTACTACATTCTATCACACTATCTCTCACTATGAATCTCTTTTGCATTTAAGATTTTTGTAAGGCAAGATATTCTGAAGGTGGCTGCATTGCCCAAACGTTTTTCTGGCACATGGGAGAATCACTCATAATTCATGACCTGGAAGGTGGGGAGGGGAATTCCATATAGTCACCATTCTGTCCTGCTTTACAAGAGAAGTCAAGATGCTCTTTCAACTTCATTTACTATTACATCTTCAGTTTAATGTATGCTTTTTCATTTTTTTATAGTGTGCATCTTATTCTTAAGCCAGTTTGACTGCTCTAGTTCATAGAAGGTGATATAGAAATCAAATTCATTTTAATTATATATGGCATTATCAAAGAAACTTATCTAATCTTTTGTGTCTCTGAAAAAAAAATCTATTTTCAATTGTTTCTAATAACTCAACATTAGATTTTCTTTAAATAAAATATACATAAATATAAATACATTTTTAAAAAAATCTATGTGTATTAATTCTCACTAAATAGCACTCAGCAAAACTAATGCTTCAATTAAAACAAGCATGTTTCCACTTTTATTTTTATTAACAAGGCAAATCTAGGGCAATCAGTGTTATATATTAAACTGACCTCCCATTTTGTTGATAAAATCCTTCTTCAAATTCCCGTAGGGTTTTGCGCAATTTCTTTTTTTCACCTCTGGCTTTCCAAAGTTGTTCTAATAATTCAGGCCTAGAAACACATTGTAAGAAAATACTCTGGCTAATCAGTACCATCATTAGTGGCTCATCATCTAAAGGAGCACAACTTAATTAGATAACTTTTTTAGAAGCTTGTATCAAATATTTTTTTATTTCTTTCTTTAACTTGTTCTCTTGCTAATAATTTAGATAAAGAAAACTAAAGAAGTCATAAGTGATAAAACTAGTGTTACATTTCAGGAGAATCTTCACGGAAGAGGTATGCAAAATGTTCAAGAAGATTTCTGATGTCAAGGCAGCCATATTAGGATCGGACACTTTTCTAGCCCATTTCAGAATGGCCCATTTCAATCTAGCAATATAATATTTTGTGTATCACTTATCTATTTTGGATTTAATCAGAATCCACAAATGATTTTTAAAAATAAGCAGCAGTACATTTGTTTGGTATTTGCAATGTCATATTTACTTACATGGAAGCTGCTCGGATACTAGAAAGTCGAAGCTCTCGAGTTAGTTTCTCTTGACTTTCTTCAACATCAGATTCTGAGTTTTCCACAGGGCTAGTAGCAATGGGATGTATTTGGGCACTGGATTTTAATATATCAGTCAATTCTGAAGATATATCACCATCCTCTTCCTCTTCCTTAAAAATAATAGACAGGTTTTATGGATTCAAATAATGGGACATATTTTTTAAAAAAAATATTACTACTGCAGATTTATTCATATTTACTTGTGGCAATTGATGGTTAAGAATTGTTTGGGCATTAATGTGAAGTCTAGTGTTGAAGCCAACAGTGGTTCTAGCA